TTATCAAAAAAAAAAAAAAAAAAATCCAGGAAATGCTAATTAGAAACTTTGCTGCCATTTTAAATCAAGATTTTTTAAAAATATATAAAGCAATTAGTGAACTTGGCATATCAAATGCAAAAACTTCAGACAGACACTTGAATCAGTCCTTCCCTTTGTTTAAAAAATAAATGGCTCTATGAACAACAAACCTTACTTTGTTAACAGTTCTGCCCTGAGTACTCTATGAAGCAGCTATCTTGGCAACACCAGTGTGGTTAAAACCAGAGTGATATCTCTCAAATCAAGAAGCCAAATATTGGGCAGTGGGACATTTGCTGAATATGGGTGGTCAAGTGAGAATGCAAACATTCATACTGTCACTAGTATGAATTTAGAGAGAGAACATAGTAACTGGATACTTAGTGACGCGACTGTTATCATGGAGCCCTTGATTTTACTTCCAAATTGGGGTCAAAATTGACAAACTTCTCCACAGATTGGATGCCAGGAAGTGTCATGCTAAAGATTCTGACTTGTTCTGCGCTGTCAAAATACAGTGTGCTGCAGTGTGTGCGTTTTCTAAATTTGTTTATTTTTGTTGGGATTTTGAGGGAAAGCCATTAAAAGAATTATTAATTGTTAATTTAGATATACAAAACGGAAAGGAAGTTGCCACATAAAGAAACCAAAACCACTCAGCTGATGAATCAAATTAAAATATCTTGGACATTATTTAAATGTATCAGTTATAGTCTCCAGGCTCCAAAGTACAGTTGTTTGAAGTCGGGCAACAAAAGTAATGTTACGGGAAAAGGAGAGATGCCAGTCCCTCCTCAACACTTTTCAGAAAATCAGTTTAATTCTCCTCCTCAGGCAGGGACAGCTCACTCTTTTTTATTTGATCCCAAAAATGTTTACTTAATAATAATGAGATAATTAATTCATCATGTATAGAACCCAGTAGATATGAATGCAAAGCTTTAGAGATGAATTAAAAGACTGACCTCTTCTGTAAGGAACATGCACTTTGAATTAGAACCAACACAGCATGAAATGACAATAAGTAAAGGGTAGAGAAGGGCTATCAGAGAAGTCTTCAGGACAGTAAAACATTCCTCGTATAGACTCACTGTTACATGTGCATCTTGTTCTTACTCCTTAAAAGAAAACTAACATTCATTAGAATTGATATGGTTAGTACAATTAAGATTTGTGAAACGTGGGGAGAATGGATGGTAATTAGCCAAAGAAGGCTAACTGAGAGGAGTTAGAGTTTTTGGCACATGGGGCACACAGGACACTATGTCTCTCTAAACACATGGAAAAGATTTTTCTTAATTGAATCTGTTGTTAGTGAAAGATCTTTTTTGTATGATTGTAGAAACTGAAATGGAAAAGACAGACTCCCCTTTTAACATGTTTGGAAAAGGCTCAGTTCCATAACAAGAGAGAGAATAAATTTGGTTTATATTATAATTTGACCCATATTTTATTAAGCTGAGCCTTCAAAAAAAAATGCTAACACTTAATAGTCCTGCATTAGTAAAAATAGAAATGCTTCATGAAGTTGTTGTAAATCAAAATACTGTATATGCTGACAGTTGTAGAAAGTCGTCACTATACATAGGCAAGCGTCTTTCTGTAAAAGATGCCTGCAGGGATTGAAGTGAGCAGAAGCATGTTGCTCTTGAATCCAGCACTTTCTGCTTAATACAGTGCTGTTACAGTATATGAAGTAACATAAGTCCATGAAATGTAATAACAGCCTTTGGGAATATACCAGATGGTGCGTATGGCCAGGTGACAACTGTACTCTGAATTCCTTGCAACACTGCTTTACCAAACGTGTGGGATGTGTCTCCAGTGGGCATAATTCATTTAAACTACAAGTTAAAAGGGCACTCATTAAAGAAATGGAAAAATGAAAAGCTGGAAGTAATCCTTTGCCTTCATTTAAAAAAATAAGCAAAATTTCTTTGCAGAGCCAGTCACAATGCTGGGAAGCAGAAGATCGAGGTTCTCATCCCAGCTCGGACACAATGATGTTTTATATCGTAGTAAACTTTACCATTTTTCCATTGTCCTCATTTTTAAAAATGCTTACATAACACTTACAGGGGTTTTGTTGGCATATACTCTGAAAACTTGGCCCTTCAGAAACTCAGTGCATTATAAAAACATTTATTGATTAGTGGCAGTTTATTGCTGTGTACCACTGTGTGACAACACCTTGGTTACAAACTTGTTGGCACCTTGCATCCTGATGCTTCTGTGCTTCTGCTTCTAGAATAATTATTTTGGTAAAAAGCTAATTGCAAATATTGCAGTCAAGCAAGTGCGTGGATGGATTATAACTTTGTTTGCTAACGCTCTGCAGTGTATACCCGCATCATCTTCTTTCCTCTCTTCCTCACTCTCCCTTCAGTAACTATCCCATTTTTGCCACCTGCTAGATTGGCAAATACCGAACAGTCTGGCATGTTTGTTTGCTATCAAGTGCTGAGTTTCTGAACATAATATGAGTTCCTAGTTTGTCTGGCATCAAATGGTCAATCTTGTGACTCAGTGATTTGAATGAAAATTCAGTTTCTGAGACTGAATATCTTTTGGCGTTGTTTTTACATTCATTCACTAACAGATATTTCTGTTGTAAAAGAGCAAGGAAACACATTTGATCCTTTTTTCCATCTTCCAGGAGACCATCCCCGTGCAGAAAACCTGCCCACAGTTTTCCGTTCTCTATGCTTTTTATTTAATCATATTTGCTTCCTCTTTCATTGTTCTCTTGTAGGTGTATTCGACACAGGAAGGATTGGGGTGCTCTTATTTTAGTTGATGACCGCTTCAGGAGTAATCCTAATAAATATATAAGTGGTAAGATACTCAAATGCATCTAGGAAAGTTCCTAATATTTGTATGAAATGTTAGGCAGCCCAGACTTAAGGGGGGTGAATTTCCCAAAGAAAATTGTGCAGGGAAATTTACACCAAACATATTCATTAAACTCAGGGGTTCTGTAGGTATATAACTAAAATTCTGAATGGCGCTTAAGACATGCTCCAGGGAGTCAAGAAGCTAAAATGAACTGAAACATATACTCACCAGTCGTGCATATATTTTAATTTCATCCCCATTCAAATAGGACTGATCATAAGATTTGTTATGAAAATTTGAGTTTATGGACTTTAATTGGCATGCCTCAAAATAAAATCGTATAACAAGTTGTGAAAACTGTTATTCGGTGCACAGTGAATATAAAAATAAAAATGTATAAAATAAATATAAATTTATAAAATAAAAACATTTTTTTCATATTGGGTATCCTTGTGCTCTAGCACTTTTGCACCCATGGTGAACTGCAGTGGTTATGGTTACTAGTTAATGGATAACTAGTGGGTTTTGAAGACAAACAGGTAGAGGTATAGCAATTCCTTTACTGTATAACTTGAGTATTTCCTGAGTGAACAATACTGCCCATTCATCGTTTTGGAAGGATTAGAAATTATTGCAGCAAAAGCAAAAGCAGGGCTTAAATGGATACCTTAAAAATAAAAGAAATTGTTTAGGAATAGATGACAGGTCTTTGTTCTCTTCTCCATTTATATACAACCGTGGTAAAGACATGATAGAAAGCCGATAATGGTACTATCTAGTCAGTAGGTGGTGCTCCGATGCTAT